CACCCAGATCCACTTCAGGCCATTGGAGCTAACGGAGAATCACCATTAGAATCTGCAATATGGGGCTTTTGACACACAGTGGAGCAGCTCTAACTCCATCCCATAGAAAGTGGTGCCAGTACATACCAGCCCAGGCCACTGCAGAATTGTAGTGGCTGGAAGTCTGCACTGTTGCAAATCGATCAAGAGGCCACATAAACATAATGGATAGCTCATCACACTATATAGGTGGACATGTAGCCTGTAATTATAGGTTGCCAACCAGGGACCAGAAACAGTATCACGTGACTGTACATGTAGTTATTAATTAGCATTATTACATAACAGGTGTGTTTGGCATTTTATCAGCCAATATGAAGATAAAGTCCTTGCCTGAGGAGCTGGGCATCCCAGGAATTATTCCGGTTCCCGTGAAAGTCAACAGGAGCATGCCATTGACGTCAGTGAGGGTAGGGCCTGGTGTAATTACACTGGAAGATTTCACAAGGAATGACGGGAGGGTGAATCAAAGGGAAAGGAGAAGCTGTTATTGAGAGAGCATTGTCCACCAGGATTCAGATCAGTTCACTAGTGACTGTTGTGGGTTTTAATTCGCATTGGAATTAAAGTTATGGAGCCGTTTTGTTTCCCAGAGTCTGAGCCTCAAGCGAGGAAGCATAAAATCCCACAGCACTTGTCGTGATCAAATGCAATGTGGAAAGTAGGATTTAATTGGAACGGTTTGTAATGTTAGATCAGATTAATTTGTTGATGTGGGTGCAGTGCTTTAAACATGTAGGCTATGTCTAGACTGGCATGATTTTCCGGAAATGCTTTTAACGGAAAAGTTTTCCGTTAAAAGCATTTTCGGAAAAGAGCGTCTAGATTGGCATGGACGCTTTTCCGCAAAACCTGTGGAAAGTAGGATTTAATTGGAACGGTTTGTAATGTTAGATCAGATTAATTTGTTGATGTGGGTGCAGTGCTTTAAACATGTAGGCTATGTCTAGACTGGCATGATTTTCCGGAAATGCTTTTAACGGAAAAGTTTTCCGTTAAAAGCATTTTCGGAAAAGAGCGTCTAGATTGGCATGGACGCTTTTCCGCAAAACCACTTTTTGGTGGCCAATCTAGACGCGCTTTTCCGCAAAAAAGCCCCAATCGCCATTTTCGCGATCGGGGCTTTTTTGCGGAAAACAAATCTGAGCTGTCTACACTGGAAAAGTTTTGCGCAAAAGAGACTTTTGCCCAAGCGGGAGCAGCATAGTATTTCCGCAAAAAGCACTAATTTCTTACAGTAGGAAGTCAGTGCTTTTGCGGAAATTCAAGCGGCCAGTGTAGACAGCTGGCAAGTTTTTCCGGAAAAGCGGCTGATTTTCTGGAAAAACTGGCCAGTCTAGACACAGCCGTAAAGCATCATAGGGCTAATCTTGAGAAGTGCTAAGAACCTGTGGCTTCTGTTGGTTTTAATGGAAACATTGGCCAGTGCCTGACCACCCAGGTTCTTATACCCCATGCAAGAGAAGATATAAACGCCCTGTAATCCATTTGTGCAATACTACACCACCAAGCAAAATTCATTCCTGAGCAGGCAGTGATGAGCTTACAGCCTGAAACATGAGGATTGGCAGCTCCTCTAATTTACTGTCATTGCAGACATTCATAGAAAGGGTTGTTCTTTTTACAAAGCCTCTCCCAGCCTTTTTGGAAACGTACCTAACTATATACAGCCGTTTAAGGAGACATTATATTAAAATGCATTTCCCTTTGTCCATTTAAAATGTGTTGCTTTCCAATTTCATTGAAAGGATTTCTGCCCCTCCGTTGCAGGCAGCCTCCAACTGCTTCTTAATTTGAAGAAATAGGGAGGTCTCAATCCTGCATCCTGTGGACAAGTGTCCTCATCACAGAAACCATAGCTACAGTAGGGACAAATAGCCAGTCTTATTGGAACCTCAGCAGAGAGCCAAGGACTGAAAGAGTCATAGGAACGCTACCTAACGGAGCCCTCCCAGGTCAGAGTCCGGGTTCATTGGCATGGCAGGGCTGGCGAGCTGCCTTCGGCTGCCCACTGTTCCAGTCCCGTGCAGGGTTCTCAGCCCAGCACCTTGCACTAGCAGGACAGGTGCATACAAGTGGGATTTTAAAGAACTGAAAAGCCTGCCCCGTACATCAGAGCGAGGAGTCCCAGGAACTGTCCCCTTCAATCCACGAGCTCCAGGGTGGCCCAGTGCTGATCCAAAGCATGTCTCATTCAGCAGGGCTGCTGCAGTGCGTGGGATGAGCACTGGAGCACAAGCGAATGCGTTGTGAAAGGGTTGCTCTCTTCCAGCTTAGGGGGAGTCACATGCTGAGCAGAACCAAACACAGGGATCCTAGAATGACACAACCCTCAGGCTGACTCTCAGTTTGAATTCCCGAAAGGGGGTGTGCAATGCAAAAAGCTCGCAAAATAGGCTCCTGGGCTGAGGACTGGAGCGGCTTTGTGTGACTGTTGTTAGCAACCAAATTCCTTTTTGCTAATGGTGACCAGGTGAGGTCACCTCTAGAAAAATGTGCAGAGCAAGGAAATGAGTTATTCCTCCTAGCCAGAATGCTGGCGCTGGATTTGCTGTGTTGGTTTAAGCAAACCGCCCTTTCACATGCCGTAGTGGGAGCATTTGGTATTGATTTGGGTGATCTAAAGCCGTGTGGCAGACACGGCGCAGGATGGCATGCGGGTGTGGGCTGTTTGTCTCCGCACCCATTAGTGAGAGTGAGGAGATCCCTATGGCCAGAGGAAAATGGGTAACTAAGGCACAAAGTCAGAACTATCGCTAACGACAGAGGCAGACTGATGATTATTAAGAAGACCTTGCTGTGACATGGGGCCCCTCATCCAGGCAGAGCCTGACTTGCTTTACAAAAGAGCTTTTGGAAACGTAAGACATAAACCAGAAGTGAGCCCCAGGGCTGCTGAGCCGTGCCCCAACCATCCCAGGGAACCCCAGCCTACAGTCACACACAGAAACACATCCAGCTCTCTCCTGGATATATATGTAGTCCAGCCACATTATAACATGTCCCCTTCTGTCCGCATAAGGGAGAATACCACATCCTCCCACCCTGAGAGATACGGTGGCCTATACCACGGCTATGATATTTTCTTTCTGGCCACACAGTGAAGGATAAATCATAACGAGGTTGGGCCATTACTGGGTTAAAACAGCCTAGTTTATATCTGGTTATTTGTGCTGTGTAGACATGGCCTAGTGTAGGGGTAGCCAACCCATTAAAGGCAAAGAGCCACAATAGTTGGGGATATAGCACAAAGAGCCAGGGGGGGGAAGTTGTCGAGCAAAAAAAAAGGGGGGGGGACACTGCGCCTTTAAACAGAACTCTGGGTGGCAGTGAGCACAGAGAAACAGGGGACGGGGGCCATTTTTAGGGGCACAGGGTTAGCCTTGTGAGCCATGGGGGAGGCTTCCTGAGCCACACTTGAAGTGGGGGGAAAGAGCCGCATGCAGCTTGCGAGCCGTGGGTTGGCCAGCCCTGGCCTACTGTATGAATTCCATAGGGCTTCTGTCCACACTACGGTTTGGATGGGA